TAAGCAGCAGTGAAATTGTTGGTGTTCTGCATGTGGTGTTTGATTAAAGTTGAAACCAAGTCTGGTTTGATTTGCTTTTAAATATAAGGATCTTGGTTTTCCTTCCTCAGAATCTAAAGGGATGAATTTCAGATTCTTGTAGTAGTGACTATGCAGTTCTTCCAATAAATGTGTTTCATAGCAGTCCATTTAGTTCATCTTATTTGCTATGAAGTAGCTTTCCTTAGCCATATTTGTTTTCAATTCTGATGTTTACAGGTGAGGCTCTAGGAAGAAATGAACGCTCTTAATTTTTAGGGAAGCAGTTTGTTTTCAAGCTCATATCAATATATAAACTTAGTAAACTTCTTAAACAGTCAGAAGAGAATCTAGCAAAGAGTCTGGAGCACTTCTTTTGAAAGAAGTGAACAACATATGTGTACCACTCTCCATGCTGAACTGCAGGTTTGAATCAACATTTATGTTCAAAGTACAGCTAGTACAAATGAAAGTAGCTTATCCAAATATGGATGCTCTTGTCATTCACTGGATACAGTGGAATGAATAGCAAAGCAAGCCAGTTTTAGTGTATTTAACAGTGTTTCAGCAGTGTAAGTTGTGCTGTGATGTCCCCTGGGTCTTTAGCCCCTCATCCCTTCTCTTGCCATTGTAGTACAGGTTTGATCACAGGAGATCTCATTTGGAATCCAGGAAGTTCCTGATGGGCAGTAATCCTGTAATTGTTTTCCTCTTCCCTTAAAATCATGTAAGGAAATGGATTTCCACCTTTCCACTATAACTTTCCCAGGGCAGTGGTGGAATCACCATCCCTGGAAGTGTTCACACACCATGTAGATGAGGCCCTCAGTGACACGGGTTAGTGGTGGCCTTGGCAGTGCTGGGGAACGGTTGGGCTTCATGAGCTTAAAGGTCTTTTCCAACCTGGTTGATTCCATCATTCTGTGATTTGCTGCAATTGCCATCAGTCTGCTTTCTCCAGCAGAGGAGCCTGTAACATGCTGCCCTCTCCTCAGTAACTGTAAGCCACTGAGAGAGGGCACTGTTGAAAGTTTCTCAATCAGTAACACCACTGACATGACAGACATTAGCCAGGAATGTGTAGCAAAAAAAAACTAAAATAGGAAGGCATTTAAACACGACACTCAGGCCGCTTTGTACATGACTTTTGCAGCACTACAGGATTCTTTGCATCAATCACAGTGTCAGTGGCAGACAGTGAAATGGTAGATTACCACATGCTTGACTGGAGGGGAAAAAAAAGAAAGAAATCAAAGAGAAAGGCTAACCATAGTAAAGGACAGGTCCTGAAAATATTTACAGACTGCAGAATCAACACAACAGCTATGCTGACAGTTGCTAATGGCTGTCACAGCTTCGCAACCACCACCACTGAAATCAATTCAGAATGAGTATTCGGAAAATTACTTACTTCAACACTGAAAATATTTTTTTCAGCTTAGAATACATAAATTTGAATTGATCTTCTGACACTCTCATATTAGGCTGATAATTCCTCAGGGGTTTGCCTTCCAGAAGAGCAAACTGCAGACTGGTGGGTTTGTTCCCTTTTCTGTACTCTGGCAGGAATCCCAGACTTGTTTGGGTTGAAGGGACCTTAAAGCTCCTCCAGCTCCAACCCCTGCCATGGGCAGGGACACCTTCCACTAGAGCAGCTTGCTCCAAGCCCCTGTGTCCAACCTGGCCTTGTACACTGCCAGGGATGGGGCAGCCACAGCTTCTCTGGACACCCTGTGCCAGCGCCTCAGCACCCTCACAGGGAAGAGCTTCTTCCTTATATCTAACCTGAACTTCCCCTGTTTCAGTTTGAACCCGTCACCCCTTGTCCTGTCACTACAGTCCCTGATCCTTGTAGTCTCCTTCAGACACTGGAAACTGCTCTGATATCCCCATGCAGCTTCTCTTCTCCAGGCTGAACAGCCCCAAGTTTCCCAGCCTGTTGTACATGGAATCATTGTAAACAGCAGTCTGCTGTAGCCTAATAATGTAAAAGGCCAAATCACTTCAACTGAGATGGTATCTTTAGCTGGATTTTATCTCGGGGGGGGGGGAAAAAACGAACAAAGCTTGGCACTGACTTAGTTTTCTAATTAAATCTTGATGTCACCCTTCGTTTTTAAGATAACCAGTTGTTGCCCAAGGAAGCAGAGAGCAGTCAGGATAATCAGTCACAAATGCACACACTAATTCACCTCCTGGAGGCATTGCATTCTGAGGCCAAGTTGCTGGTATGATATGGGAGGCACTGGCTCTCACTGTGTTTGTGTAGAGGAATTTTCCATGTCAGTTCACCTGTCTCTGTAGAATGCTAAGAGATGCTTTTTATTGAGATAATCAGAAGGTCTTTATGAAAGGTGTCTTGTCAATGGCTTCATGGTGTTTTGGAAAGCTCCAGAGAATCAGCAGTTGCTTTTCCCAGGGTTTGTTCTGATTTGGTTAACCTAGGCTGTCATGCTGTAGAGCAGCAGCATTTAAGAGATTCAGTCAGTCCTGTACTTCATTTCTGGCTGTTCAGGGTATCCTCATGGTATGATACTAACCTCTTCAGATTTCATGAAACTCCACACCTGGGCTTTATCAAGAGTATTTCTGTTGTTGGAGGCAGCAGGAAAATATAATGCCAGTTACTACAAGAATGGCTTAGGCTACTGTTGTTTTAAATCCAAGTCTTTAAACATGGTTGCAAACATCTGTAAGTGGATAACGTTTGAGTGCTGCAGGGGGAATCCCACAGGCTGGGTTTGTGTAGCTGTGGTCAGAGATGGACCTTTATCTTGCCATCTAAACATGCAGTTAATGCAAAACTTTAAACATGGCAATAATTCTCTTTCTAAGAATGAGCTTTTCCAGGTTTTTCTTGCCCTCTAATCATAAACCCCCATGTTATCATTGCATTATTTTCTTGAAATACTTCAGCACTTTTCAGCACATCATTGGTCACATCTACATGTCATGCCGGCATAGCAACAGATGTGCAGGGAGAGAAATGATGTATACCCGTCAAATTGAAGTTACCAGCTTGGATTTGTACCTCTTAAGTCTGGAATTCCAGACTCTGCAGTTAACAGTGGGATCAAGGTCAAGTGAGAATGTCTTGAACTGTCCTTTTCACTAGATCAGTGTCACAAAGGATGAAGCAATAATGTCAGTCTCAATAAATCTGGTAGTCCTGGATGAGCAAGCAGCTTCATTTTCCCTAGCTGCATTGTGTCACGTATGGTAAGGAGCACTTCTAAAGCAGATTTGTTACTTCTCTCAATTGCTTTAAGGCCACCATAGAGCACAGACAGGATTCTCCTCAAATCTGTTTTCCTTTGCTTCGGAATACTGTGTGTTCCACTGATCTCCCTCCATCTTTCCTGTGATGACTGGCAGGTGGCTGTTGCTGCTGTGTTTGTGTGCTGTTGTGCTCTACTGCGTCAGAGCATCTGATGCATACATGATTGCACTGTGAGTATTTCTTAGCCTCCGTTGCCTCCCCTTACGCCAGAACAAGTTGTCGTTATTTGGAGGACACAGGACAGCCAGGAGCCTGCCTTCTCCTTGACCTTTTAGATAGCTGACTGTTCATGCAAGTATTGCAAATATGTTCTTCTGGAGAGAGCAAAGCATTCTTGCTAGAATATTGCTGCCCCACACCAGAACCACCTATGAGAGAGTGCAGCAAAGGGGCATGCTAGTGATTCTTGAGAATAGGCTCTGTCTTGGTGCCTTCCACTTCACGCAGACTGGCACCATCATACCAGAGAACAGATCTTGCCTAGGTTTGGTTATTTCCACCGACACTAAACGCATTTTCTCTACAGATTTTCTGCCTTTGCTGTTTACATGGAGGAAGCAAATGACAGCTCTGCTTTTTTCATTAAAGAAAGAACTGCCTAAGGGAAGGCAAGGGTGAAAGTGTGTCCTCTAGGACTTAGAAGAAACCAGGAAGAAAAACCTTCATGGTATTTGTTTTGAACCAGTTTCTGTAGTGGATAACAGCTGCTCTTCCAAAGGAAACATGGAGAGAAGGTACAGCTTTTTCTCAGTATTCACTGACTGAAACACCCATCACAGGCTTCAGGCTTCACTGGGTACTTCTAGACCAATGTTCTCCAAAGCACAGAAGTAATGAACATAGTGTTACTTGGGGCTCCTTCTAAATAGTCATTTTTGGTGGTTTTTGTTTTATTTTTCTTCTATCATGCATGAAAATACTCTCACCATGTCAAGTCCCTGTTGCCAAAATACTAGCTGGAGAGAATTTAAAATGTTAATTATAAGCCACATGAACTATTTTTATACATTTATACTGACATTTGCAACCCCATCACTCTTAACAGAGATCAGAAGTGGTAAGTTGTAAAACAGCATTTAAATGCAAAACTACATGATCATAGATCATAGAATCATAGAATGGTTTGGGCTGGAAAGGACCTTAAGATCATCCAGTTCCAACCCCTGCCATGGGAAGGGATGCCTACACTAGACCATGATACTCTTGTGCAGACAACTATCCCCAAATCCTTCAGAACTGATTATTTTTGCAGTGAAAATGATTTGGGAATATTAAAAAATGTGCTACAGGGCTTACTTAGAACATGTCTTGCAACATGAAGAACTTGTATTTCCAGCAGGAGTTCACTAAGATGACTAATTATAGAAAATTAATATCTTAATGGATAATTAGTAAAACTGGAAGCAGGTTCAGAAAGGTCTTCTTCAGGCGCTTGGTAGTTGGACAAAGCTATTTCCATTTAAAATAAACCTACCAGATTTTCACAGTAAAGTGTCAGGTTTTGTGAAGAAAAGTTTGTTTGTTGTGGAAGAGAGGAATGTGTGTAAAAACTGTGGGAAACGCTCTATTTTAGTAAGATGGCAAGCGAAGGTTGTTCAGTGGGAACAACCCCTGTGAACATTTCAGAATCATAGGGCTGAACAAGACTAAAGTGATCATCTTTTTGAGGGCTTCTGCCACTAAATAAATAGCAAAACATAGAAAGTTTCCAAAAGAGTTTAATAAATAATGAGGTTCCTTTTTTTTGTACTGTATAAACTATAAATATACCATGCAGTCCTTTATAACTTAAAATAATTTACAGGCTGAGGTAGGGGGGTAGGAGGATGTTCTCAGGGGGTTTAGATGTACCTCAGGGCCTCCCTGACTTCCTGCTGAGCACACACACGCAGGCGGTGTCAATGCGGATGAACCTCCAGGCCGCCTGTTTGCCCTCCATGGTCAGCGCTTTGACAAAGGTGTGTGTGGTGGTGCAGTAAGAGTTCCAGTGCTTTGCATCGATCCCTCGGCACCCACTGGACACTGGCTTAGGGTCCCTGCACTTGGTCTCAAAAAAGTACTGCTTAAAAACGTTGTTGTTAATATTGACTTCTCCCAACACCGTCACCTCTTTGCCTTTAATGTCAGTGGCTGTGGTCTTGTCCCCAACCCACATGCTGACGCTGTCGCATACTGAGAACTCTCCCCGGTGTAACACGGGATGTGCAGTCCTCTTGGTCCTGGCAGTCCTGTTGAGAGCACCTGCACTGCTGAGAAATCCCATGTTGTTTCCTTGCCCTGACACTGGGGGGGGCTGTGTGCTGAACAGCACCCGAGGGGACCGGAATCGCCTCTTCTTAAAAACCTTGGGGTCCATGGTGATATTTATAGCTTCTGTTCTACTTATCGTCCAAGTAGAGTGGCCCTGGGATGTCTGTGGAGCTGCCTTGGGAATGTGGTGTCTGTTACTCCGGTGGGTATTGAGCGGGGAGTGTTCTGCAGGATACTCCAGTGGAACATTGTCCTCTGACTTTGGAGCTGCCTGTGTGCCGATCAAAAAAGCTATGATCAGAGTGTAGTACAGCATGGACATTACGCTATGCACCTAGAACGGAAGAAAAATGTAATGTTACTGGAAGCCATGCTAACAATCAATTTATAAGATACCCAGGATCATACAAATTTCATCAGGTATTCATGTGGGTGCCAGATGTTATTTGTCCAGAAGAGCCCATTCAGACAGCATAAATGTTCTTAATAAAGCGAGAGCATTAGAAAATAAGAGCTAGATTATTATTAATTCCTCTGGTACTTGTTATTAGGACACTGTTTATGAAGCACTTGTTTGGTGTTATTAATGTGGAGACCATATGGCGACAGTGTGTTCCCAAGAGTAAAAATCTCTAGTGATTTTTGCAGCAACCTTCTTGGCCAGGGCTGGCCTCTTGGCTGTAAATAGCCTGCAGAGCAGTGAGAGTGGGAGCAGGCCCGTGGCTGAATAGTCCTCCATTCACTTCATTTGCCTGCAGAGGTGTCCTTGGGGTGAGGGTGGAGACCACCAAGCCAGTGCTTGTGGAAGGAGGGGGGAGCCCTGGGGAATCCTGCCCTTATCATGTGCTATGGACAGGCCCCACCCCTCTGGCAGGCTCAGCAGCTTCCAGCAGCCTCCATCTATCCCATCTGCTCTTTTGGGATGCAGCACATCACCACATTATGATTTTCAATAGATAAGGCTCAGGCTCCTTCTCCCAAGAGCTCAAGCATTGTATGTCACAAGGGCAGATGGGGTTTTTGCCATGTTCAAGCAGCCTACTAGGACAAATATGGGTATTACATAGGAGCACTGTTTGTGACAGGCTACTTCTGGGTTGGAACAGTGTAGCTAAAACCATTGTGGCCATAGTAATGCAAATTACATATAGGGAAACACTTTCCTTTTGCCAGAGTGCCATGTGCAAGAAGCTCCGCAGTGTCGCTGCAAAGCAGATCCAGTGCTAGTCTTCCTTCAAACTGGAGAATATGCACCTCTGTTGGGGTTGGAAATGTGTAAGACAATGTCTAAAACATCACTGAGAACAATTTAATGCAGCAGTAATACCTTGTTAGGTAACTATCGTGTTTTGCTTAATTCAGCCTCTTGTTAACAAATCAGCAGCAGGCATCTTGGGAATAAAAGGCATTCAGAAAGGACCTGAAATTGCACTTAAGGGCAGACATTGTATTTCCTCTACAAAGACTTCATAAGCAGAGACAGGATAAACAGACAAAAACTCCCCAGCGAGGCTCCTCCCCTGTCTCTTTGCCTTGTTTTGCCTGACATGTCTCAGCTGGCCCCGAATTACACTGTGTCCGGCCAGGAGGCAGGCAGGCAGCTGTGCAGGGACTGGACAAACAGGGTTTTGTAAAGCAGGAATCAGGCTCTGCAGTTCCACTGTGATTTCCCAGCATGTCTTAATGTTTTTTCTGGGTATGGGTCAATTACCGTTGAAGTTCCCCCTTTCTGTTCAGCTTTCTCAGCCTGGAATACCAAGGAGCACTAAAGTGCTCAACCGGGGCTTTAGCTTTGCTAGAGCACAATCTAGGAAATGCAGAACCCCTCAGATTCACATAGGATCTTGTGTGGGTAGTCTTAGATGAGCTGGAATAAAATAAACAGCTGTGTTTGTGCAGGACTGGGCCAGCATTTAGGAAATCAGGAGACACCAGTTGAAGGTAGTGACTGAAGAGGGTGAAGATGCTACAGCATCAACAGAAGAGAAAGGCCAAAAGCAGCATTAGCTGTTGTCTGTGCAACAGTCGGTGTGGAAGAACTGGGGGCAAAACGATGACAAGGAGAGTCAAATCTCTCCTACAGAGAAAATCTTTACTGTTCCAAAGCTACTTTAATTTGCTTAAAACAAGGCTGAGGGTTGCTGCTTTCCCACATGCTGCTCATGCTTTAGCAGTCGTCATCATCCGTATAAGGAAATAGAGCTCGGTGTAGCTCAATAGCTTGCCTGTGCATGATGCAAAGAGTAACCCCTTGTTCTGCAACCAAATTAAAATCAGATGGTTCATTACAGCTCTATAGACTTTGCTTTCCCCACAGAAATGTTAATGGAAGAGGTTTGCAGAACAAAATCCAGGCACAATTTAGGACTGCCAATAGCAGCCTCAACCTATTGTGTTTAGACATCAGCCCTTTTTTTTCTGACTTCCTTCTATAGGAAAGAGATGTTGCAATGTCAGCAAAGAGCTGTTTCTGGTTTTGTGCTACACAAGATTCACTGGTCTCAAATGCAGATAGAGAGTCATAAAATCAATTTGGATTCAAAACTGGATTCTAAAATGCAGCTATCACCATTCTCTGAGTTTCTGATGTTGTATGTGTTAAGATTATTGCTTTAAAGCCATTAACACAAAATCAGAAGGATCTCACCTGCTTTTTTGGGGGAGTTTTTGTTTTTTTTTTTTAAAGTTTTGCCAGTTCTGGGGCTGGTAGTCCATGGGTATCTGTTTGTAAAATTGGTCACAAAGGTTATCACAGGCACTTCAGTGCCACTACAGCTACTAAAACAGAGGATGTTTAATGAGAAATGTGACTTTGAAGTGTCCCCATTGTAAGTAACCATTCCTCACAAAAGAGTTGATGTCTAGAGACAGAACAAAAGAAGACAGAAGAAACTCCCATTCTAGCCAGACAACAGCTAGCTAGTGGCTATCTTTGAAGCAACATGCTTTACAAAGTCCAAGAACTAAACTTTTTAAACAATAAGAGCATTAAATGCAAACTTCTCTCATCTTCATACTTTAGAAGACAGACCACTGATTTTTGAAGTTCAAGGTAACGTCTTTTTTTCACCACCTGTATGTTCATAGAATCATGGAATGGTTTGGGTTGGAAGGGACCTTACCAAGCCCCTGCCATGGGCAGGGACGCCTCACACTAGACCATTGCTGAAGGCTCTGTCCAGCCTGGCCTTGAACGCTACCAGGGATGGAGTGTGTTGGTCAGGTGTCATTTAAACACTTTTCCTGGTATTATCTGTTAAGGCTGCGGTCTGATGATGGTACTAGGACATTTCCCCCTCTGTGTGTGTTGTGCTTACCTCAGAGTGTACTGCACAGAAAGCTGCTCCCCCAGCAAGATGTTTATTTCATCCAGATGCCGAGTTGGGGTTGGCTGCCGCATGCCATCGGGCCAGTCTGACTGCGTTGCTCAGTCTGGGAGTTGCTTATTCTGCAATTCCACTAGAAGCAGAAGTATTTGTTTCAATAATTAGACACCAAAGAAGTGTTTTCAGTAACATTCCCCACTTGACAGCAGGAGTAGAGGGACAGATCCACTTGTTTGACTGTCTGGACTATGCCTTTTGCACTTAAGTGTTGAGGTTGTCTAAAATATGGTTCTCAGCTTTCAAGAGCTGCACCTGCTGATGTTACCGTCTGAGCTCTGTTTGCACAGTAGCAGTAGACATAGGAGGGCTCAGACCCCCCAGCATCTTTGTCTGGGAAGCAAGTCTGGTTACAAGCCACAAGTTGTGTGCCAGTAAATGCAGCCAGTGTAAAACTCAGTGGCTCCTCTGCTTGCTTGTCCAGATTGGTCTAACCAGCAGCACCACCAGCCCTGTGCCCTTCTTCTGTCACTGTACCTTAAAATAGTGTACAGCTGTTGTCAGTACTCAAAACTCAAAACCAGAGATGTTTTGCAGAAGAACTTATCTATGCCCTGTCCACAAATCTCCTGTGCACACATCTCACTATGCAGTTTGCGGCCCATGCTTTCTCTTTCTTTTGATGCCCCTAATGTTGGAAGGCCTTTAGAGGCCCAGAGGGAGGGTTACCAGCTCTGCATAGAGGTACCTATGCATAGTACCCTGCAGTCTGCAGTGAAAAGGAACTTCTGTTTCTCATTTGAGTTTTGTCAACCAATATGGTAACGTCATCAGTGGTTGTAATACTCCACATGAGATACCAGCTACCTACAGGGTAGTTCCAGCCTCCCCTGCCCCCCATCACTGCTTAAGCTGTATGAAGAAATGCAGTTGTGAAGTTGGCTGACCTGTTTTGCAGTAATGTCACTTTTATTTAGTGAAAGTGAGTGAAGGAGAAAAGCAAGTGTGCAGCTCAGCAGGCAGGAGTGATAGCATCTCCCAGGTTGTCCAGGGATAGTAACTGGACTCTGCTGATTGTTTGAAACATTAGTTCCTCTTGAGCAATGTCAGAAGAGTGCTGAGCATCTGTTCCAGAGGGGAGATGATGCCTGAGATCTTTCATTCATACATGGGAAAAGAAAAGGTAAATTCTAAGCTCCTACGGTGCCAGAGAAGGAGACTGTGTGCTAGAAGCCTGCTTTTCCCTTATCCACCAACACTGTAACTCCATCACAGAAGGCCACCAAATTTGTTGGCACAATTTTCTCTTAGTGAAACCATGTTGGTTGTCACCAATCACCTCCTTATATTCCACGTGCTTTAGCATATTTTCCAGGAGGATCTGTTCCATGATCTTGCTGGGCACCGAAGTGATGCTGACTGTCCTCTAGTTCCCTGTGTCTTCCTTGTTTCCCTATTAAAACTGGGAGTTATGTTTCCCCTTTACCTATCGGTGGGACCTTTACCAGCCTGCCATGACTTCTCCAGTATGATGGATTGCGGGTTGGAAACTGTATTTGCCAGCTCCCTCAGGACCTGTGGATGCATCTCATCCCATGGACTTATGCACCTTCATAGTGCTTAGATAGTATCAAACCTGGCCCCGAATCAAAGGAAAACCATTATTGTCATGCTGATGCCTTCTCAGCAGAGTACATTTTCGATTGTAAATTCATGAGTGCTGTTGAAAGTGATAGAAATAATATTTCATTAACCATAAGTATTTAGATAGTTCATCTGTTCCCTTTAATACGGTAAATAAGGGTTGGTAAAGTAATTCTGCACTGTACAAGATCCTGCTGTATTCTGTGTGGAGATTCAAGTGCGTTTGCCAAGTACGCACAGCTCACACCAAAGCATGAAATGGGCTTGGTTTATACCTGCACAGTGTCTGTCCACTGGAAAGCTGCCTGCCAGGAACCACATCCAAGCTACTTTGTTTCTTAAAATCTAACAGAAATCTCCCAAGGCC